AAAAAATACATAATCCCTTGCCAAATCAAAGTAGATTCTTTAAGAGTACAAGGAATGGAAGCATTATGATAGTGGTTATTCTTGCATTTTCCCTCCAGTATGATGACATGACATGTTATTTTTAGTTCATATTAAGTGGTTATGATATTTAATTATATTTTACAATATAAATTCAGTTTAAATATACTTGGCAACTCTTCTGTTTCTTAAAAATAATCTTTAACCCAAAAAGAAAACACTAAGATAAAAAAATGCCTCTTGCATACATTTCAAGCTGGTGAAGACAGCAGTAGTGGGAGCTTGGGGGAGGGGGTCCTTTTTACTGCCACAGAAGAGCCTTCCCTCTGTCTGGACCTGGAGTCTGAGTGCATGCATAACAGAAGAGGGATAGAAGAGGAGGTGCACAAGTCGTGTGCTTCACAACTGAAGTAAAACAAATAGACATCTAAAGGGGCTCCTCCTAAGATCATTAAATCCAGGTTCTAAAATTACCTAGTTGCACTGCAATGTTTGAGTGTACTTGTATGCAACTGTACTGTACAAAGGGCTGGGGAAGGAGAAAATGTGGAGGAGGTGGCAGCTGAATAGCAGCCCCATATCACGTTTCTGGAAATACGGGTCCCGTTCTTAAAATAATCCCCCTGCCCTCTCCTCGCACTTGCTGCTCCACTCAGCATACGAGGTAACCAGAGATCGTGTGATCAAATAAATTGATTTACCAATTTTTAATAACATTTCTGTACTGCACAAGCATCAAAGCTTTCTGGGTGGTTCACAAAGATTTAAAAACAGTGTAAAATATAGAATGTTAAAACAACAGTATAAAATAGAAGTAAAAACCAGATTGAAGTCTAGCATTGGTACAGGATTCTTGGGGAAATTCATGGGAAAATAAGACATTCCTCACCTGGCATTGGAAGGAGTACCGTGGATATACCAAGCGAGCTGCTCTGGGAAGTTCATTCCGTAGTGGGGTACCACAACTGAAAAGGCCCTCTTCTTAGTAGCTCCGACTAAATTTCCTTGGGCAGGGGGTCCCTCAAAAGGACTGCTGAGTTTGATCTTAGGGTCCAGGCAGTATATATGGGAGGAGAAAAATCCTTCAGGTAACCTGGCAGGTTTTGAAAGTTAACACCGGCACTTTGAATTGAGCTCAGACATGGACCCAAGAAACCAGTGCAATAAACTAGTTCAGATGATGTAGTGCTGCCCTTATATCATACCAGTTGATCTTCGTTCATGATCTTGCTGCCCTGTTTTGGACCAGCTGAAGTTACTGGACCATTTTCAAAGGCAGCCTCATGTGTATTGCGGTCATCTCATTGAGAGGTTACCGGCGTGCGGATAATTGTAGCTACGCCGTCCTTGTCCAGATGAGGACATCGTTGATGTATTAGCCTAAGCTGATAAAAGATGCTCTGTGCTGCGGAATCCACCTGTGTCTCAAGTGACAGTGCTGGATGCTGGAGCAACCCCAAACTATGAAGCTGATCCTTTTGGGGGAGTACAGCCCCTCCTCATTCATTTGGACAGGTGAACTGCCCATTAATTTGACTTCCATCCTGCCTGGATTGAGCCTCAGTGTCTTGGTCCTGATTCAGTCCCTTACTGTGCCCAGGCACCAAGTCAGAACAGGCCCTGGGCCACCTGGATTGAGGAAGAGCAGGGATGGGGCCGGGTGCCACCTGCGTATTGGTGTCCTCTCAGCTTACATCCCTTGATCACTTTGCCAGGTGGTGTCTGTTGATGTTGCACAGCTAGAGGGAAAACTGAGCCCGTGAAATCCCATTGTATGTCTGCCAAGGCAGTGGGTGGTAATCCCCCAACAGGCATCCGAGTAGGAGTGGAACCCCTGCAGTGCAGTGCCTCCCGCTCCCTCCTCAGAAGGATGCCTTGGTCAATGGTCTCAAAAGCCACTGAGAGGTCCAAAAGAACCAACAGGGCCACACAACCCCTTCCTTCTAGCAAAGCTCATCCACTGGGGCAACAAAGGCAGCTTCTGCTCCAAAATCAGGCCAGAAGCCCAGCTGGAGTGGATCTAAATAATCCGTTTCATTCAGGAGTGCCTGGGATTGACCAGTGGCCACTCACTTGAGCACCATGCCCAGGAAGGAGATGCTGCCAACCGGCCTGTAGTCATTATCTTCTGGGTCCAGGTCAGGCTTTTTTAGAAGTGGCCCAATTGCCCTCTGCTTTCAAGAAGTTGGCCCCACTTCCTCTCAGGGAGAGATTTATGATCTCTGGGTCTCAGCCTTCCACCTCTCCCTGGTAGGGCCAGGGCTGGGCTCACTGGTGGGCGACTGGCCTTGGCCAAGCTCCCTGGTTGGACCTCCTCTCTTGGGTGCTCCAGGCAGCAGTGGGGAAGCATGGAAGGCACAGCCGGCCTCTGATCTCATGGCATGTAGAGGAGTGGGGAGTAGCAGCGGAATGGCTGGGAGGTGGCCACTGTGGTGGGAGTGGAGGCCAAAATGGTGGCCTGCGGCTAGAAGAGCAGACTTGCTCCCCTTCCTGCTTTCCCATTGCAGCTTCTCCTTAACTGAGAGGAGTGAAATCTGTCTATAGCCGCACATCATTCCTGGCCTTTAGGGGGTGATGCTGAGGCTCTGTTGAGAGAGAGAGAGAGAGCTCTCGGTCAGTTGGGGACAGTGAGAGAGTAAGTAGGGTGGCCAGGACGGGTGCAGCCGCACAAATTATGCTGCAGTTGCAGGTGAGGGGTCTCCCTGGAGCACCCTGTGATGTCTGCTGCCTGGCCAGGCAGGTCAGATGCGTGTAAAATAAAGTATGTGCTGGATCAGCACCCAGCCAGTGCAGACAAACCCATAGGTGTTAGTGGGTCACTGTAGTGGTAATACGATGTCCTGGCCTATTTACAAGCTGCTAAACTGCATTCTGGGCTAAATAAAACTTGAGCCCAAGGTGTTTATAGGCAACAGTTCTTAAGAGATGATGCATAAGACGCTGTATCAGTGGGCACTCGGGTTTTAGCAAGGGAGGGTCTTAGCACAATGTTCCTTTGGGACTTTCTTGGTGACCCGATAGCTCTTAGTCAAAGGAGTGCCTGGTGGTTTGTAGGCATCTCACGCCCCTGCAGGGGAGAGAACCCCTCTGTTCTCAAAGAATAGTTACAGGAAAAGCTGCATTGTTTTGTTTCGTCGCAAACAATGTCTGAAGCAGTTCCCCATCCTCACTCCACTGCACAGCTCGCTTTACAGCTGCAGCTTGTCTGTCTTCACATTTGTCCCATGGAGTAGATAGCTCAGGCTGAAAGATTTCCTCAGGACTACCCAGATTTCCCTGTGCCAACTGCTGCTGCTTCTTACTAATATCAATAATTCATATTAATCAATATCAGTTATTTAATATTGATCTTAATATGCTACCTGATAACCCAAGCTTTCTGGGTTACAGCAGCACATAAAATACAATATAAATCCAGATTATAGGAAAAAACATAATAAAACTAGAAATGTTGTGTTGTTCTCTGCCTGCAAGTCATCTCCGACTTAGGGCAATCTCTCACAGTGTTCAGTCACTCACACAGAAAGTCCTCGCCTTCGGAGCCCTGCTCTGCTCTCACTGGAGGCTGTGGCTCTCTTGATGGAGCCCGTCCAGCTCATAGTTGGTCTTCCTGTTCTTCTTCTGCCCTCGACTTGCGCCTGCATGATGGCCTCCTCCAGGGAGTCCTGCCTTCTCATGATGTGCCTGAAGTACAACAGCTGCAGTTTTGCAATGTTTGCTTCCAGGGCAAGTTCTGGCATGGTTTGATCTCGCACCCCTCTGTTCGTTTTTCAGTCAGTCCAGTGCTCTCCTCCAACACCATGTTTTGAATGCACTGATTTTCTTCCTGCCTTTTCACAGTCCATCTTGCACACTCATGCACAGTGATTGGGAGCACAGTGGTGCAGATGATCTTGACCTTGGCCTGGAAATGAACTGTAGATCTTTTCTAGTTCCTTCATTTCCACCATTACAAGCCTCACTTTTCTTTGAATTTCTCATCTGCAGTCTCCCCTTGAATGGGTTGACCAAGCCAAGGTATTTGTATTGTTAGCGTACAGATGACAGTGCAAACTTTTCAAAATTCCAGATGACCCCATTCAATAGTTTCTTGTAGATGCTGAATCTTATGGGGGACAGGACTGACCCCTGAAGGCCCCTTTGCTGGGGAATCCACTGAACCGAGCAATATTCCTCAAGCTCCACCTTCTGGAGCCAACCCTGCAAAGGGGAGCAGAGCCACTGTTGTGTAGTACCCCTACTCCCAGTTCATCCAGCCATCCCAGAAGGATGCCATGGTGAATGGTCTGAAAGCCCCCAAGAGATCCAGGAGTGCCAGCAGGGTCTCACTCCCTTGTCCCTATCCTTGCCAAAACCCAGTGTGAACCAAAATGGATCCAGAGAAACCTGGGGTTGGGGTTGTTACCCTTGATTAGTATGGGAAGCAATCCTATGGATATTTGGACGGAAAAAATTCTGCATCTCCTGCCCGCATAACCTGTTGAAGCAACGAGTTTGTGAATGACCGTTGCTTGCAATTCACAAGCAACAAATTACTCCATGAAATATCTGTTCCTGATTCTTCAGGCGCAAGAGCTTTATTTTAATTCCATGTTTAGTCAGAAGGGAATCCTACTGCATTCAGTTGGATTTACTTCCCAACAAGATTAAGATTTCTTTAAATAGGCAGCAGTAGTCCTGAATTCTAACCTGCTAACAGTTTATTGTGAGTAGTGGGGTTGTGTTTTTCAGCTCTGTATCACATGTAACCTTTAAAAGGTTAGTTAGTTTATTTAATTTATATGCCACCAGATTAGCCATAGGCTCTCTAGGCAGCTTACAACATGATTTTAGAAGTGATGGGAACTAAAGAGGTTAATTCATTTTTTAAGTGTGTTCCCCCAGAATCTATATGCAAGGCTCAGTGTTTAGTATGTAGTAAGTTACTAAGTTTAGTATGTTTATGACAGGGTCACTGATCTAGGCTTTCTCTCTTCCAATAGCTCCTGGTACCTTGATGGGAGACTGCTGTTACTGATTACCTCCGTTTGTATTGTCTTCCCTCTAGCACTTCTTCCTAAAATTGGTAAGTAATTTTAAAGGGGGTATTATTGCTGTCATAATTACTATTAGCTATAGTGTTCTCTTTTAGTAGCAGTTTAATTGAGGGGTTTAAACAAAACTCTTAATGGGTTACTTAAAAAAAAGATTTAAGGAAAGATGGAGGGGTGCAATTTTATTTGCAGCCTAGTCTGTCCTCCAGCTTTGCCTAGTTAACCTATTACTCAGATTGCAGTAGTATTTTGTCTGCTCTACTAAAATAAAACCTTTACAGCAGGACATTAAAGAGCTGCATTTACTTATAGCATGCCATTAGTGGTAAGCCAGTTCTAATTCTGCCCTGCAAAACTACATAAATGATCTGTGACAAGCAAGTTGGAATGTTGTTATTCGGAGCTTTAAGCCCCAGACACCAAGCTCTGTAATGGAAAACATACCTACACCGTGCAGCTCTGCTAGCCCTACATCAGGGTCACTTGCCTTATAAATTGCCACTTATTTTTTTACTGTTATTTTACAGGCTTTCTTGGCTACACAAGTAGTTTATCATTTTTCTTTATGGTGTACTTTGCTCTTGCGGTAAGTCTAAAAAAACCCAGATCGCAACTTACATTAAGTTTTCTTATTATTTTGATGGATTTCAGAGCCCTTTGAAATGAATGTCTGCTCTTTAAAAACTTGCCCCTAGAACCAAAATGTTCCTCCTTCTGTCCTTTATATGTGTGTGTGTGCGGGTTTTCTTTCTTTTAGATATTTGTTTGGCTGAAAAAGCAGGAATATGAAAAGATTTACTATCGTTAATTTTTTGGACTGTAAAATGCAGCAGAGTTTTGTTGTTTTGCTGACAAGGCAATGAAAAATACTGGCCTGTGTCCCTCCCTTTCTTGCTCCACGTGTGGAATGGCATTTTTTCGTCTTTGCTTCCAACCACCATTTGCAGCAACTTGTGCATAAGAAAATGCCATATATTCTGAGTAAATTGAATGTACATGTTAGTTTCATAATAAAAAGCACAAGAAGCAGCAAACCTCTTTTGAGTAGTTTAATGTATATATTAATATATCAAAGGCCTTATTCTTTCCAGTTGAAAGTAATACTTTCCCCCTTTTCTTTCTCTTTGCCAACTGGGGCATTTCAGTGCTGATATTTACAGCCATTGATTCCTATATGATATATGGAAAGCAGAGTGCTGAAAAACATTTGGTTTGCATTTGGATTGGTAGTGGTTTCTGTAAGGGCAAGAATATGTGGAAGTGGAGTCGTTTTTAGCATACATGTGAAATTCAAGATAAACCTAAGCTCAATCTGTTTCCAAGATCTCTGTATCTGCTTGGCCCAGAAAACCCTTCTGTATAATAGATTTGCATGCAGCACCCACAACTGCAAGAATCTTCTTACTCCATGCTGAAGCTCATATAAATCCCTGCCTCAGCCTGGTCTGTACCTGGTGGATATGCAGGAAGCCTGGTAGCAGCGCTGCACCCCAGAGATAAATTAGGCTGAGATTCTCCTGGAGTGATATGGAAGGAAAGGCAGCCTCAGTCAGGGAGGTGGCTTGTGACTCACAAGTGCTGGGCAACTCCACCACCCTTGCAGGAATCCTCCCACTTGCCTTGTGCATCGCCCTTGTTGACTCAGGCTATCTGCACGCTGCTCAGTGGAGACTTTGGGCAGCATCCAGAGCTTATTCCACCAGGATTAATCACTCTGTGCTAGCAAGAACAGCCACTATTGCAAAAGAGGGCGAATGCTTGTGAGTGCAGCTCCAGAAATGTTCTCCAACTAGGGCTTCCGGGACAGGAACTCCCCCGCCTTGCCTGTTGCTCCCCGAAGACCTAGCACCCTGTTATACTAGCAGCCATCCCTGCTAGCTAGCACCACGGCAGCGTGGGATGTTGCCCTTGTACAGTGAGCTGGACAGGGCTTCCCACAAGCAGACTTGATCCTGCTGGATCTTAGAATGCAAGCAATATTCTGCTTTTGGAAGAGGGGAAATGGGTGCTGAAAAGCAAACAACAGGAAGTAGGCATCCAACGTCTGAACCGAGAGAGCACAGCAGCCCTTCCCCCTGCCAGATTTCCCCATGTTGCCAAATCAATCAATGGAGCATTTGGACCAGCTCATGTACCATCTTCCTGGCGTGGTGGGTGGTTCCGGTGAACTTTAGAGGGAATGTTGCATGAGATAGATGTACAGATGGTTTTTCTAAAAGGGGATGAGCTGGACTGGGATCACCGCCAGTGGCTTCCCCTTGTGGGAAGAAGTCACGCCGCAGTGGCTACCACACCATGAAGAGTGGCCCCTTGGATTGGGAAGTGCTACTTTCCTGTTCTGCTGGTGCCACAGAGACCTTACGATTCATGCCGGTGGATGATCCCTTGCTTTCTGTGACTCTTAGCTCAGAGCTCCCACCCTCCTCTTCCCTCGGTTCTCTTGCTCCGTTTGGGTCACAGTGAGTGCTTTTCTCTCCCTGGGTGTGCAGCTCGTGAGCTGCCCTGCAGAACTGTTCTCTCAGGGAGTGGGTTGACGCAGTGTGTGAACCGGGGGGTGGGTGAGTGGCCGGAGTAGTTTCCTTGCAGGCTGCTTGGGGTTCTCCCGGATCGCCCAGCAAGAATAATCCTTCTAATTGAGCAGCTCATGACCAGAACACACGGGGAGAAAAAAATGAGCCACCGTTGCTTATTTTCCCTCCCTGATTGTGTAAATCTGGTCTTTCTATTGTGTAGCAAAAGCTTAGTGAGACTATGAAAAATTACAGTGGTACCTCGGCTCACAAACGCCTTGGTTCACGACCAAATCGGGTCGTGAACAAAAATTTCATGAAAATTTTGACATGGGTCACGAACTCCGCATTGGTTGGATGGCGACCAAGATCGTGGCCATCTCCTCTCCACCCCCAGTGGGAAGATGGCCACGATCGCAGTTGTGTTTGTGCAGGGAAGATGTGCGTGATCACGGGCGCACTCCTGCAGGAAAGACAGGCGCAATCGCAGCCATCTCCCCCCACCCAAGTGACTATACAAAAAATAAATGACTATAGACAGATTTTTCACCAAAATTGACCCTGCAGCTAAGAAACAAAGAAGAGAGGAAACCCCTGAAAGAGGTCCCCCCAATGTTCTTATGGAGGGGGACTCTCCCTCAAAACAATAACCTTCCCCCACACCTAGGTTAGTGCTCTCCACTGTACTGTACAGTACTTTGTTACTTTGTTTCAATTTGTTTCAAAATTTTCTGATTAAAAAAAATAGTTACAGAACGGATTAACCTTATTTACATTGAACCTTATGGGGAAATTTGACTTGGGTCACAACCAGAGTTGTGAACGGATTAAGTTCATGAGCCAAGCTACCACTGTACTCTGGTCAGTCACTGTCAGCCTCAGTCTCTCATCCGTAAAATGGGTAATAAGGGAAAACAACGTTACACGTGCAAGCCATTTTGTAGCATGGCAGAATTAAAGGCCTGGACTTGAGACACTGGCGTTCAAAGTCCTGCTTAGCCATGAAGCTCCCGGACAATGCTGGGCCAGTTACTATTTCTTAGATTAAACTGGGTTGTTAGAATGCCTAAATGCTTGGGCCAAAGCTGCTTGGAAGAAGGAGGAAAAACAGATACTATACATATGTAAAATCCAGAGACACACCGAGAGGCATTTCCTACCTCCAAAGGGAGATGTTTTGACTGAAATGGACTGGAGGCACACGTGTACAGATGCTCTCCTGGAGCTTGGGTTTAATATAGATAAGTAAACAGCAGGACATTGCCAGGTTTGATTCTGTCCTCTCTGATCTTTTGGTGTGTGTAAGTCTGCTTTGGCACAGGGGGCATTTTTAAAAGATTTAACTTTAAATTTAGGGTGGCACCTATCTTCCTGCTGTACCTTGTGCAGCGGTGTAGAATTTTGGGTACAGAGGTCAGCTGGGCTGCTCTCACTGGGATGCTCCTAAATGTTGGGAGTGGAAGAGGCCACTACTCTTGGAATGCTTCAGGGCCAGGGTGACTCCAGCTCTTTGGATGAGGACGTTGAGGCCTGGGAAATGAGGCATTTAAACGGTGGAGGAGGGTCTTACCTCAAGGCTGCTGTCTCCAGATGTTCAAAGACCCTGCAAAGTGCAGGGATGTGACATGGGAGAGGAGCCAGAGGTACCTGGTCTGGTCCTTGGCCCCAGGAGACAGTGTCGGGAGAGAACGGCTAGCCAGCTAGAGGGTCTGCATGCATTTTAGGAGGCTTACCCATCTCCAGAAGAACATTCCCAGAGGCATGGAGTCCAGGATTGCTCCAAAGGAGGGTTCTCGGAAATAGTTTCTCGTTTGAGTTTAACAAATCATTTTGTGCATGCTCAGAAACTCTTTCTTCGCTGACTGTAGTTGGTTAGATGTACATTGGAAATAAAGAGCTTTTGCCGAAGAACAAGTTTGGCAAGAGAGAAGGGGGAGCCCAGCTCCTGACACTCAAGCAAATGAGCTTTGAACAACGGCCATCCTCTACTCTTTCAGACCTCGGGACCAAGAGTAGACTGGAGGCGACTTTTAATTGCTTGCGGTTTAGTGTTGGCGTGGTGATGAGCAGCCAGTATGCCCGGTGCTGCAAGGATGTGCGTTTTCCATTTAAAAGACATCTTTGAAAGCAAACCAAATAACTAAAATCGAATGGAGAGTCAGTCATCTCTTTATTTACTGTTTAACGGAGTAGTTTATTCTTCTTCCCCTCCCCTGGTTTTTAAATGGGTTCCCCCGCCCTGCTGTTGGACTGGGATGCCATCTCCCCCCTTGCCTGTTTCCACCTGAGCCGGCCAGTGCAGCTGAAATGCTGCACTTTTGCCTTGGGATCATGGGCTCCCTCTGCTTGCATCAACTTGAATGCTGGTCTTGGGCCACGTGTTCCATTGCGCTTTTCTTCACTATTTAAAAAAGATAAAAATCACATAAGGCCTATCCAGCAGAAATGCCATCCCGAGTGGAAGACAACCAGCCCATTAAGGAACTCAGCCGTGAGATAAAATCAGACTTCAAAGCGGTTCCCTAAGGGCAGTGTCTCTCAAGAACTCCAAAAGAATTCTGCCCCTGCTAGGAGATGATAATCTTCTGCAGTTTGAGGTGGAGGAGGAGATAGTAGAATTCCCGTCCATTACCAGGGATTTTGACTTCTCTCCATGCTCTCGAGCTCCCTGAGCACTCACAGTGGGGTTTTGACTTGGAGCACCAAGCCATGTTCGATTTCACACTCCCTTTAGGTCCAAGAGTGACTTGGCATGTGGCACTGGGAGCAGGGTAGCTGGTTTTATTTACAGTCCCCCTTAGTTACACAATGGCAAGTGCCGTTCTTTAGATCCAGGACCATGTGAGTAAAATAGTTACCATACAATCCCATTGTGTTTGATGGGTCTTACTCCCTGTAGTAGGAGTAAGGGGATTGCATCCTCCGCCTTCCTTCTGCACCTAACTTCCAGGAGGTTTAGCAGCATTAAGAGGAGAAGAAAGTGGTTCTCTTGGTCCGTGACTGTTTACAGATCAGGGATGGTGGAAAGGAAGTCATACCCCGAGAGCCAGTGTGCTGTGACGGTTACAGTACTTGG